ACCATATACCTCTGTTAAGACCAGTCATTTGTTTTTGGCTTAAACTTAGTTTGCAGGTTTTGGGGGAGGGTGGTCTTCAAGCCCCAATTTCTGGAGTAAAGTGATTTAGTTAAAATCCTAATGCCTGGCAGTGCTGACAAGTGCTTCTTAATGAAGACACACCATATGCCAGGAGAAAGACTTTTGACTGAAACTTAGCTAAGAGAAGTAGTTAGCTGCATTACTCTGAAGTCAGGGTAGATATGCACCTTTATAGACTAACTAAACAGGATATATATGAGGGACTACAAGCTTTCATGAGACCAAGTTCACTTTTTCAGATGCAAAGCCAGCAGAAGCCTTGTCCTGCTGCTGTAACTGTGTCCAGACTAGATGTTTTATTGTTAGAGCTACGCTGGATAAAGAGCATGAGGTTTTTGCATTGTGAGCTGATGTAGCCATGATAGCAAAACTTGTAATACAGACCACACCTGAGATATGCTCCACGTCTGGAACAGCTCACGGGCTGAATAGATGGGACAAAGTAGGAGAGTGGAAGAAAAAAACATGACGTTTTCTACACCATTGGGGGACTGGGGAGGGGAGGAGGGGAATTATACTTACAGCTAGTTTACATACAGATATTGCATCAGTATATTTTTTATACACAGTTAAATAACTTTATACTCTTAAACCTGTCTATCTTAGACCAGTATAGTTTATTCCTTTTCCCATATGGAAATAGCTAGGCCAGTAAGAGCTCCTTTATACTAATATAACTGCATCTACCCTGGGAAGGGGTGGAGGGTGGCACCATTTTTGCATGTAGACAAAGACTTTTGTGTACTGCTGCTTACAAGAGGGCCCATCAAAGAAGTATGACCATCTGCAGTGAGGGTATCATACAGCTTTTCTGAGGTGCAGCTTTAGATGGTTTTGAGTGATTGCTGGGAATTTTCCTCTCACCAGTAATGAAAGCAGGAGCAAACCTCCTTGTTAAAGAGGCTGAAGCTGAGTAGTTAAGATTAGCTGAATTTTGCACTTAAAGCAGGGACTGAATGACCTTGCTCTGTATAAAGAACACGCCCTCCTTGAAATTAGAGCACTTGCTCCAACTACAGATGTATTGTCTGAGAATTTACTAGTTAATCCAGTGATATAAAATAACAAAAGTTTGGCCTTTGAAGAACATTGCACAATCCATGGCGGGTTCCTGCCCCCTGCACCGCCCCCCCCCTTTGCAATTTTTCTCCTTCCCTTCAAAGCAGGGAGTGGGATTCTGCTGTTTTGTCCCAATGAGGTGCTTAGAATCTCAGAGCAGGTTTTAACCAGTGGCAAATGTGGTCTGTCTGGATGAGCTTGCAGCTCAGCTGTGTTCTACACTGGATTAGCTGCATCTATCATCAGCAATGGTCATTTTGCAGCATTGAAAAGAGTACCCTTTCTCCAGGCCCCCTGTGTCCTTTCTTGTCCTTTCTGGAGAGAGGACATGCCTGATGGATGATGATTCGGACGTGCAGAGGCCAACTTATCTCACAAGCTGCCATCAGGTGGTAATGGCTTCTGGTCTCTGACCAAAGCCAACAAACCTATGTCCTTGAGATGAAGGGCTGGGCTATCGTCATCTTGAGCTGTTCCAGGCTCCTATGTTGTTTATTACAGTCTTATTTATTGGGGCTCCCAACCCGATTTCTGTTCAGATTTAACAGATCCCATCCCCTACTCCAACTGAGCGAGTCATGCAGTGTCGAGCTGGCAGCACTATTCACTGGTTCCCTGAGAGCCAGTTGCCCCCAGAATAGCTTCTTTTGTGCTGCATCTCCAGACCACTGCTTGCAGAGCTGACCTTGTGTAAGGGCATTTGGGGATCTCTGTCCCCTGGCAGCTCTCCCTCTTCCATATGGTTTATCTGGCTAATGGCTGTCAGGAACCAAAAATAGCCCTGTCTAGTGGCAGCTCACCTGCCCCCCTCCAGCCCTTTTCACCAGCAGCAGAGCACAGAAGTTTTCTTGGTCCCAGACCTGAGTGATGATGACACCTCGTGAGAGGTTTTCAGCTCCCACTGCTGCCCAAATAAGCTGGGGATGTGCTGGAGGATTGCCCCGTGTTCCTGACTGAACTCATGCACTGTCAGTGAAGAGACTGGTTGTTCAGGTGTTGAGGGGAGGGACGGGGAGAGACACACCTACCATGTGGCTTTTGATAGGATTTCAGTGGATGCATGTGCTGTCTCCATGGGGTTTCTCTGTGAATTGAGTCAGAAAGCCCCCTATGAAGGGTTCTGACCTGGCCCTGGGCCTACCAGGTAAGTGTCAGAGACACTTTTTACCTTGCTGTATGTGTTGCTTCCTAGAGACGCTTGCCTAGTGAATCCCAGACTGGATCCCCAGTGAGGTTCCATACCACATAAACCACCAGTACAGCTGACGCTGGCTGGCCTGCACCTGTGGGTTGGTATGGAAGTGGCAAAGGGGATGGAACAATATGCTTTCCTCCTTGGTAGTGCAGGGCATAAGGGTGAGTAGGAGAGCTGCCTGGGCTCTACTTGGTCTGGGAAGACATGGATGACTTCATGATCTACTATCACTGTATCAAAGCCTGGACCCTGGACCCCCTTCTAGGCATGGGAGTAGAGAGTACCGCTTGCCATTCAGTCCTTATTCTCCCTGTAAAATTGGTCAACAGAGCTGCTACCTGGGATAGCAGTTGGTGAGGTGGGATCCTGTCCCTGGGAACCCAGCAGCTTGGGAGAAGCTAGTCCGGTGCTGGGGCAGAACGGTCAGATGGGCAGAATGCTCCCAAGGTCCGTTCAGCTGCCTGGAATAAAGAGCTGCTCTAATACGCTCTGGTGTCCACAGAGGCAGAGTGGATCTCAGCTTGGTTCCTCAGGTATATGGACTCCAGCAGCTGTGCTTTGCCAGTGCCCCTTCAGACCCATAGTGCCAGTGGAGGTGCACAGCAGCAATTGTCTGTGGGAGCCCAGAGACCCTCAATTCAAACTCGTGATATACCTGTGGAATGGGTCTGGGTGACTGGCAGAGATGGTGCGGCAGGATTAGTCTGTGCAGTATTAGTGGATGGAAGCTAGGCCAGCCACTAATCTGCAGGGGTCCTGTGAGGTGACACCAGAAGGAGGTCTCCTTTTGTGCCTGGTTCCTGCTAATCGAAATGGGGGCCCCTTCCCTTCAACACTCTCCTGGAAGGAATCCCAATTAAGGGAATGAGCCTTGGCCTTCTCTGTTGATGTACAACACTGACCTTCAGGCTTGGTAGAGGTCCTGTCAGCTCTTATTTTTATCACAGCTCTTAAATCCTTCTTTCTCTTTTGTTCCCTAATTCTGTGAGACACCCTCTGAGTGAGGCTGAGGATAACAGTCTATTGATCTTGTCCTCCTGCATTTGGTGAAAGTCTGTTCACAACCTCCGCTCCCACGCCTACTGCACAGCTAATTCAACAGGAGCCCATACAGCCTTGGCTGCCTGTCACACCCTTTTCTGCCCATCTCTACAGAAATGGGCATTACCCTGAAAACTGTCCTCAGGAAGGGGTGCTGCTATGCACTCCCAGCAAGGGTGCAGTGCTGAGCTGTGAGATCTGCCAGTGAAAAGTACTTCCCAAGGGGGATGGGTCTCATAGTGAGGTCCTGCACGTAAGGGCTGGGGCTATGTTTGTGGAAGAAACCCACCAGGGAATGGGTGTGTTGCCAGGTTTAAGGTCCTGTCCTGCACGTGCAAAAGACTGACTCCCAGTTCCTTTGAATTCCACAGGAGTTTAGCATCAGCACTACTAAGACTTGCTCCTTCTGGGTGAAGAGACAATTCCTCTAATAGTTTCACACTAACACAACAAAAACCCTCCTATGGTTTACAGAGTAACAACCTGGGCAGAATCTGAGCTTCCCTCATTCTGATTTCACAGGACAGTCCTGACTCCAGTGGGGTTAACATTGCCTGCCCAAAGTGTTTTGAGATATCCATGGGGAGATGCTCCCTGCTGAGCTGTAGCACCAGGGTACTGTGATGTTGCATAGCAATGGCTCAGCAATTGTGGCACTGTGAAGTGGTGGTACCAGTCCACTGAGAGCCAGGTAATCTGACCCTTCCTTAGGGTATGGTGGGGAAGTCTGGCAGGCATGAAAAGGCTGCTTCTTTCTTACAGACCCAGCAGTGTCCAGTCAGCAAGATCCAGTGTGCATGGATGGCACCAAAAACAGTGGAGTGGACTGTCATTGTCCTGACCTGCCAGCACAAGGACAGTGTCTGTGCATTCCAGAAAGGCAAGTACTGTGCCTTATGCCATGGGGCCCCCTGTTAATGGGGAGGCATTAGGGATGGGGGCTGGTTCCTAACTGTGACTGCTGTTTGCAAATCTGCAGATGCATTTGAGTCTCATGAGGAACAAACAGCACTGGTCAGAGGCATATTTCTGTACAGGTTTCCTACAGCCCTACACAGCTCCTCAAGTCTGACCTGCTAACACCAGCTCTGACAATGCCCCTCAGTCTTGACCTGCAGCCCTCGTAATCTAGCCCTGTTCCCTACATTGCTTCACTGCACCTCTGCCCCTTTCCTCTCTGATGTTCCCAGGGCTGCAGGTTGGGTGTGGGTCTAGGTGGGACTGGTGTTGGTGTTAGAGCTCATGCTCTAATACCCTCCCCAACTTCTTAGGACTGTCATTTGCAGCTGAGAACAGCCAGGAGCACTGCAGCCCTCCAGCTTCTGTGTCCTACAGCTCTACCTCTGTGGGCAGTAATAGCAGGCATGTAGGCCTGGGGCTAGTCCACAAGGGGCTCTGTTGTTTCTGAAGCTCTGTATGGCAGTAAAGCTGAGGGAGCCAGGCCCAGCTGTGACCAGGAGGAATGAAGTTCTGAGGGACCTTTACTTTCTGCAGAACCAGTGCAGAGACTGTCTCAGGACCCCCAGCCCATTGTCTGGTGCATTCATGGCCACATCATGCCTTTCTCACCCAGGAAGCTTCCCCATATCTTCCCTTTCACCTCCCTCCTGTTAGGAGGGCTGAGTCTGGCTTTCTCAGGAGATACCTGTACACCTTCAGCTGGTCAGAAGAAGTGGCTAGAGAGTGGCAGGAGGCATTGCCTGCCACAGAGGCTGCTGCCAAGGGCTTGGGTTGAACTCTAGGAGCATGTCAAAGCATCAGGCTGGCTCTTCCTGCTCTATTCACTTTCCATTATCTCCTCTACTTTCCAGAGCACAGTGTTTATGCCCTCTACTCTGATGCCCTGTGGCATCATGCTGCAGTCTGAACTAGAGGAGGGGACCCAGCACATTGGTCAGGGATGCAGGCCTAGCTGGCATTCTGCCCAGGAGAGCACGGTGATTGCCCCTGGGGCCTTTTCCTCATGTTTACCTGAGGCTGCAGAGTCAAAGTGCCTGAAGCAGCAGAAACAGGCTGGAGGACTTGTGCTGCAGCCTGATGGGGAATTGATGAGAAGCCAGGAGAGGTCAAAGCCTGGCAGAGAGGGTGCTGAGTGCACAGGTGGCTTCCAGCCAAGGAGAAGTAGCAAATGGCTGCAGGGGAAAAAGGCTGAAGTGGCAATTTTCCTCCAGCTTCTCCCATCCTCTCTGATCCACTCCCCTGCCCTCTCCAAACTTTCAGGCTATCCTTGCCATGGCTTGAGCCCCGGACATGTGAGCAGGGGTCTGATTCCTGCCAGCAGGGCAAGGAACTTCAGATACCTCCTGAGATTAAACTTCAGGGTTCCCTCAGTCCCTGGCATGCTGCAGAGCCCCAAAAGAGGGAGTTTTATGGTGCTGCCAGGGACGGGATGCTGAGAATCCCCATGAGCAAGCAGGGCTACGCCAGGCACTGGTAGAGTTAGGCCCAGCTGTCTGAGTGGGACCAGTATTTGATTAAACTTGGAACAAAGCTTTGGATTGTACATGATTTGGGGCATCCAGCCTGTCCGGGGCCCAGTTGCTAGGCAAGATGGTACCATGTTTGAACTCTGGCAGGGAGCACTGGTGCCTTACCTCATGTGGAAGATCCAGGTGTGACAGGCAGGGCTTGGGTTCATTCCATGAGCAAGACCTGCTTGCCTGGGAGCTGTTCTCTATGAATGGGAGCCAAGCTGCCTTGTGGGAGCAAGATGCTTGATCCCTGTGATGCAGAAATCAGCCATGCCAACTTGGGTCCTGCTCAGTGCCACCTTCACCGGGGAGCTGAATCTAGCTTCTGGTGGCCTGTAAACAACCATTGGCTCTTTTGCTGAAAGGTCAGCCCCCAGAGCCAACCTTAACTGGACACAGGCTCGTGCCTGGCTGTGCTCAGGTATTGGCAGGGGTAAATGGGTCTTGGCATTAGAGGGGCACCCAGGCACATAGGGATGAGTCGCTGTGGATGCCAGAATATCCAGCAGCCCTGGCCCTAATTGTGACTGGCCTGTGCAGGATGGGGAGAGGACAGTGCTCAGGGCATCTTCCTGCCCAGACCTCGCGCACACAGAGGTTTTTCCCTTCCTCTATCTGTGGAGACATTGCAGGCTGTATGTGACATCCCCTTGCAGCAAGAGGTTCCTTCAGCTGATATTGAGGTTTAGTCTCATCCTGAGCCCCAAAGGGGTCCATGTTGCTGTTGCCTCACATTGCTCTCTTGCCTGGCCTGGGCGCTCCACGCTAACCAAACAATCCTGCCTCTTGTTTGCTAGAGCTGGAGATCCGCCAGAGGAGGGGTGTCCTGGACCCCGGCACCATCCTCCTCACTGTTGAGGACCCCACAGCACATGTGGGCAGCGGTGGAGCCACCCTCAATGCCCTGCTGGTGGCAGCTGAGCACCTGAGTGCCCGAGCAGGCTACACAGTGAGTAGGCACTGTAGGACAGGGTCTGGGGCCTGCCAGCTGCCCCAAGGCCCTGTGGCAACATTGTAGCAGTGTTCATACAGGGCATCTGCTGTGGGCCTCATGGATGGGCTGGCCATCTGCCCTTGCTTATGTGGTTCTGGGTCTGAGGTTAAGAGTCATGCCACACCCCATCAGCCCTCTCTCATGCCGGGTTCAGCTAGTTGGTGCCTTGGGACTGGTGGCAAGGTGGCCACCCATGGACTTGGCATCTACCTTTCTGAGGGAGAGGTGAGGATGAGTTCACCCCCTCTCCCCACCTGTCAGGTATGTGGCACAAGGTACTATCATTCATGAGCACAGTACACTCCCAAAGCCTACTTGAAATTTTTCCTGGCAGTCTAAGCTGTGGTGGAGGGTCCAAGGAGGGAGTTGCAGGGCGATATAGAGACTTGTGGGATGTGGCCCTAAGCTAGTTGATCTCAGTCTCAGAATATCTTCAGTGCAGTGTTGCCCTTTTCCTCTGATTATCCCCCTTCATGACTCCTGTCTACTTTCACTGTGCTATGACGGGGAATGGGGGAGGCTGCACTGGTTCTTGGGAAGAAATGAAGTGCTGGGTGAGCCTGGCAGTCCATCATGGTTCTCTCTGCTATCCCTGTGCTCAAGATTTGGCAACACCCAGCAGTGACCGCTTAGTGCCTCTGCAGAGGAGGCAGTGCCTTTCCTGCCTGGTGCTGGCCCCTAGCCCCTGGCTCCTGCAGTTGGGTGGCCTCATGGCAAAGACAGCAGGTTCCAAGGCCTGGAAGGCAGGGTGCCCTCAGCCCAAAGCTGGGGCATATATGTGATGTGCAGGAGTTGCTGACTAGTGACTGGTGACCAAACTGCTTGAAGCTGGTGCAACCCATCCTGGGCAAATAGCACTTGCTGTCCCATGGGTCAAGTTTGCTGCAGCCCGTGCTCAGGCCAGCATCAAGGCCAGCTTCCAAGATCATCCATCTCTGCTGACTGACTCCCTTTGTGCACTTCCAGGTTGTCACCTCTGATGTCCTTCAGGAGGCCTGGATTCTCATCATGCACATGGTGAGCGCTGCCTAGGGTTGGTGGGGTAGAGAGGCAGGGGTCAGGCCTGCCATGGTAGTGGGTGTAGTGATCATTGTCTTGTCACTGAAGCCTGCATGAGGTTACCGGCTTCTGAATGTGGGCACAAACACCAAACCTATATTGGGGTATAGGAGCAGTGCCATCCATCTGAGACCTCGCCATACACAGGTCCCACTCTTGCCCCCACCTGGTTTCTCATTCCTCTCTCTCCCATGGGGCAAACCAGATGATCTTACACCATCAGCCTCCTGGCAGGAAGCTCAGCCCTCTTGGCACTGAGAGTAAGGGATGCCTAGTTCTAAAGAGAAGAGCTAGAGGGTAGGTCCCTTGCTCTGAATATGTCTGCACTGGGGGCCATGGACACCATGGTTAAGGGCCACTACACAACAAGTGTCTTGTTGCAGGCAGGTCCTACAGTGGGGAGTGAATCCCAGGGAGACTCAGTTCAGCATCTCCCCACCCCTCACCAGCTCTCTTCCATCAAAATTACAGCCAATTCATGCAAGGCCCTGTGCCAGCCTGGCAGGGGAGCTGTCTTGCTCTGGGGCTAAAATCAAGTGCCCTTTACCCTGTGCCTCCTAAAGCTGCAGAGCTGTTCAGGGATGGCCTGGTGCCAATCCCATCTGCTCCCAGCCACTTGCTTGCCCCAAGCCTTGGCTTTCCTACAGGGGCTGGGTTTGACTGGCTGCAGCCCAGCTATGCAGTGCTAACTCCTGAGCATGCAGGCCAGGACTGGATCCCTGTGGCTAGCAAATGGGACTGCGGGCCAGGCCAGCTGCTTGGAGGATTGATGGGTCTGGCAGTTTGAGTGTCAGCACATTTAACTAAAGCTGACAGCTCTCTGGCTGGAGTCAGCAGGATTCCAATGGCAGGGAGCGAGGAATGTGCCCCAGGCTGCTGTAGCTGTCAGTGGGCAGAGGGGTTACTGACTGGCAGGCAGGGATTTGGGATTTGATCAATGGCACATGCCACATGCTGCTTGCCTGCCGTCAGGTAGTGAGGATGGAGATGATGGGGCTGATGGCTGGTTGTGGAGCCTGAGAGGGGAAAGATTTTGAGTCATGAGTGTAGATAAGGAGATGGACAGACAGGTGGGGATCCCTAGGTCCCCTGAGGAGATGCTGGGCAGAAAGGGGAACATCCATTCCAAGGGACACTGCCCTGAGCCAAGAGGGGTGTTGATGCTGTTTGACAGCTCTGGAAGGATCCTGGCAGGACACTGGGGAGATGGTTACAGGGCAGGTCCAGGGTCTGTCTAGGCATCTAGCCACCAGTGACAGCCTCAGTTTGAAAGACCTGATTCTTGGTCACGGGGGAAAGCTTGGGAGCTGATGAGCTGGCTGTGGTAGTACTGGTAAAAGCAGAGTTACTTCCTGGCTGACTGAAGCTAGGTCCTTCCTTGGGCCCCCACAGACCAGAGTATCTGGGGGCTGGTGCTGTCTCAGGGCGTTGCACTTCTGTTGCCCTTCTCCCACATACCCATACTTGGCTCCCTCTTCCATCAGGGCCGTGATTTCCCCTTTGACGACTGTGGCCGGGCCTTCACCTGCCTCCCTGTGGAGGATCCCAGTGCACCAGCTGAAGCACTGGTCTGCAACCTGGACAGCCTGCTCTGGACCATGACCCACCAGGTCAGCGTGAGCGGGGCAGGGGGTAGGAGTTTCAACTTCCCCAAGGTCAGGGGGCCTGGAGTGCACCCTCCTGAGGCCATGGGAGGAGGTCCCAGCAGGCTCTCCCTGCTCCTCTTCCTGCTTCACCCCTGACCAGGCTATGTTGCACATTGGGGCTCACTGTCCCACAACTATAGGGCAGTAGGCACACTGCAGTTGGCTCTGTGTCATGCATGCCACCCTGAGGAGTGATGGTGGGTGTCCTGAAAACTGAAGCACAGTCAGGCAGGAAAAGCTTTGGCAACCCCAGTGCTGACGTTAGGAAAGCCAAGCAGTAACTAATGTACAGGCTCTGATATCGGGACCCAGTTCCCTTCTGCCTGTGCTACCCCACTGCAAGAGGGCCAGGAGCACCCTCTCCCTCAGGATACACAGGGAGGTTGACTGGAGCCCTGCTGAGGTAGGATGGGCATGGATTGAAGGGTGTTATGGCACTGGCTGGCTTCAACCCTGAGCTGTCCAGCTTGGACCCAAATATCAGTGGTCCTGTCCTCACCTGCCCCTTGTTGGGTGTCTCTTCCCTGTGCAGCTGTGCAAGGGCTCCCCGCCTGGAGTGTGGATCTGCAGTACAGACATGCTTCTTACTGTTCCCTCAGCACCAGGTAAGCAGTTGCCCTGTCCTGGGGGGTAGAATTAGCTGGCATGCAGGAGGTGGGGAGGCCTTACTGGAGCAGGGAGTGGGAAGCCTAGGATGTCTTCTGGTTCTGTGTTGGCCATGCAGCATATGGACTTGCTCCTGTGCAGGGAAAATCTGGCAGCCCTGGGGCTTGGGTGGGATGTGCCTGCTTCTTCTGGTGAACCCCACCAAGGCCCAACTTCAGTGCCCTTCCTGCTGTTTGCCATTCCCCCTCCTTTGGAGCCTGCAGTCCTGCAGCCTGATGAGTACTGCCCATGCAGATGTGGCCCTGCCTGTGGGACACCAGGCCACTGTGGCAGCCAGTGGGACCACTATTGTTCCATCTCTCCCTCAGCAGTTGTAGACCTGCAGAACAGTCAGTGCAATGGCATCTCCCTGACTTGAGCATCTGAAACCCATGTGATGCTCAGAGAAATATGAGGATCCCCTTGCACCAGGCTCTTGAGCAGGCAGAAAAACTTGGATGAGCACATGCCTGCCACTGATCCCAATGGGCCACATGCCTTGGCTCAGCACTTCGTGCTCTGTTTGATATTCTTTGCCAGGCAGAGACACAAAGTCAGAGCTGGTGATGGGTGTGTGGAGGCTCAGAGCTTTGTCCCCCTACCAGGCTTCCCAAGCAGGGGATGCTTGGAGGGCTTTGAACCAGGGCAGCAGGAAATGGACTGGGGCTGGCTGGGGACACTGGGGACTGGCACTTGAAGGGGGAGGGGTTGAACTAGCTCAGGGTGTGCTGTGTGCCTCTTCTAGGTGGTCTAGTTGGGGATTGGCTCCCATTACTGGTAGTTGCATTGGGGGTGGGGAGCTGCATCTGTAGGAGCCCTATCAGCACCTCCCTGTTAGCCTGGTGCAAGGGACAGTGGGTCCTTCTCAGTGGATCCTCCCCTGACAAGGGATCCCACCCCCTTCCTAAAGGGTCAGGACCAGTCTCTGACAGTTCTGAGGCCATGCACTGTTTCCCCCTCTCAGAGATCAACTGGGATGGATTCCAGGGGGCCAAAGTGATCTCCGTTCCAGGGACTGTCTTGTACGCCAGGAATCATGGAGTCTACCTCACCACACAGCAGGTTTGTGATTGGCTGAAGCTTCATAGGAGTGCCAAGCCCAGGGCATGGCTCAGGTCACAATCTGGTCATTGAAGTTCACTTGGAGATTTCTTGCTAGGATTTGGAAATTGAGAGCATTTTTACACATGCTCTGGGATGTGGCACTAGACGCTTTAGTTAGCGAGCCACACTAGTCAAAAGCACCTGCACATCACGTGTATCAGTGTTCCCATGATGAAAAAATGATGGGTGCTTTGAACTAAAGTTCAACAAATGTGGTTTATTTCAAAGAGCCCTGCTGCCATTTTTTCAGCATGGGGACATGCAGGGACACTGATAAACTCAGGCAGCCTTCCATGTCATGTGTAAATTTCCGTGCTTCAGCAGACTCCATCAGTCAAGTCTGCTCCAGCATACTGGATTTCCACTGCGTCGGAGCAGGCTACCTGTACATTTACAGGAGCCCTGAGGTACCAGGAGTGTCAGGAGCAAGAGAGGCCTAGGACAGAGTTCAGGGCTCAGTGGGGCCAACTTGATCCTCTCTTGGCTGCAGTCTGTCCAGGAGGGTGTGCTGCTGCCCCTCTGGCCTTGCTGTCACAGGGGAGCTTTGCCTGGCCAGCAATTCTGGTTTCACAGAGGATCAGCACAAACTGTAGTAGGGAGGAGTTCCCCCAGCTGTGGAGTTACCCTGATCTCTGAGGCCTGTTGGAGCCTCTGCTCTCTGCTGAGCCTACTTGCAAGTTCAGTTTGTACCAAAGAGGATGCGAAACCTGTTGCTCTTTGTCTACTGCATCTTGTCCAAGGGTCTCTGTGTATGCCCCCCATGCTGTATGTGTCCCTTTGGTAACGGGAAGCTCTACGGAGCAGCATCCCTTATCCTGCCCATGAGACTTCAGCATATTGCACCCCCTCCGTGCCCACTGTTGGGAGACATGCACCAGGTGGAGGTGGTTCAGGGCTTTCCTGGGCAGTTTTCTGCCTGTGTAGTCTTGTCTTGTCCCACCCCTATCTGAGCCTTTCAAATCAAAGGCAGTTACTCACCTGCCTATGGTCTGCCGTTAGGTCACTACATAGCCAGCCCTCAACAATCTGGATCAATGCACCTCTGCTAGCAGCCAGCCAGCTGGAGTGGAGGCACAGAGCAGACCTTCAGGTGTCTGGAGAACTGTGTGATATGGCTCTTATACCAGGCCCAGGCAACCACACTGGGCTAGCAAGATCTTCTTTCTGATACCCTAATTCCATTTTTGAGGTGGTGCCTCTTTAAGGTATTCATATGGTAGCAGGATATGAACAGCACTGCAAGAAGGTCAAGCCACAGCCTGAAATTGAGCCAGCAACCCCACTAGTGACTGAGGCAAGTGGGTCTGTTCTCCCCTGCAGGCAATTACCTAGTGGCCAGCTCCCCTCCCCCAGCATAAGGATTCTGTTCTGGGCAGGACCTACTCCTGATCCAGCTGTGCACACTCAGCCCTCAGGCCTTTGAGAGTGTGGGGCAGGCCAATCTCTGACAGGTCGGAGGGAGAGGTGGCCATCTAGGGCTATAGTCCAGCAACCCTCTGAGGTGGAAGAACCCATCAGCCCTGCCCTAGTGTATCCCTGCATCATGCTTGACTTAATTTGAAACTGCGTAAACTCTCCAAGGGCTGGGGGTCCACTGCTGGAGCTAACCAGTGCCTTTCTTCCTACAGGGGCTTGTGTGTGATATCATCTACAGAGGCTCAGAGGCCCAGATACAGCAGTGTGCCAGGCCTGATGGGAAGGTCCCACTGGTATGTTCATGATCTTTCATCCCTTAGTGCGGGGGTGTCCAACTTTTTTGAATGTGGGGCCGGATCATGAACTTTTTATTACTCAGTGGTCCGGCAGGAGCAGGCACTCGTGTGGCCTGTCCAGTCTGGCCATAGTCTGGGGGTGCAGGGATCAAGGGGTGATGCCTGATCCTGCCGTGTCCTCCCTGCCTCCTGGGTGGCCTTGAGGATGCTCCCACACCTGTGCACCTGGGCTGAGCAGCCAGGGGGACATGTGGGGACTCTACAGGGAGGTGCGGGATGTGCAGGTATACCCCCTGCTCCCTCTCCCCTGGGGCAGCCCGAGCCTGAGCCCAAGCAGCAGGGGTCCTTCCCTCCCTGGGGCCCATGACTCACCACCCCCGGTGCGATGTCTGCGGGCACAGGGGGATGCAGAGAGGCGGAAGCAGTGGGCACGGGGGGATGTGGGGAGGCGGGAGCAGTGCTGGCTTCCCGCCGCGACAGCCACAGCAGCAGTGGCAGCAGCATCTCCCGACGACCCAACCACAGCATCCCTTCATGCCGGCATCTGCGCCCCCTGCACCCGCCCGCCCACTGCACTGCGACCTGCTCCAGCCCACGCAGCTGGTGGGGACCAGCGCAGGGCGGGGCCAGCATGCAAATGAGGAAGGGAGGGGCAGGGCGAGGAAGGGACACAATGAAATGAGGGGAGAGGGGAGGTGCCGCACCATGTCGGCAATGTCAAGCTGACACAGTGCATGTGGGAACCTTGTGTCTTCCTCAGCCCTTCAGCAGCCATTAAGAAGCTGCTGAGGGGCTGGGGGAGGAACAAGGGGTTCCTGTCGCAGCACTGTGGGCCACAGAAAATAGCTTGGTGGGCCGCATGGCAGCCCACGGGCCGCATGTTGGACAAGTCTGCCCTACTCCATTAGGTTTCTTCGGTGCGGTGGTGGTGAGGGGATCTCAGTTGGAAATGGGGCTGTTGGGAGCAAGGCCTGGCTAAGGAGGTCAGGTGACCTGGTATGTCTGGAGAGTGGGGAAGAAATCGTAGGCTGGATGTAGCAAAGGAAACTTCCGTTTCACACTTTGGGCTTCTGGGCTTTGCTGGTTGCCTCCCCCCAGATTGGTCTGAACCATGGGCTTTTTGCCTTCCTCTGTAGTGGGGGGTGGTCCTCTTCCTGGGATCTCTTGAGCATTCTAATATTATAAAAGCCTACATTTGTCTGTTTGTAATGCTTTATTCGTGCTCTGATTGGCTGATGGAAACAGCCAATCAGAGTGCTCCAAGTGTGGGGAGTGCTGCGATGAGGCTAAGCCAAGGCCAGCAGTGCTAGCCTCAGGTCCACCACCTGGCTCCCTGCAAGAGGCAGAACAGCAACAGCATGGGGCATTAAGTGGTGGTGTCAAGCTCATCCTTTTGACAGATCCAGCTCAGCTTTTCTTCATAGAATCACAAAGAAGTAGGGCTGGAAGGGACCTCCAGAGGTCTGGTCTGCACAGCATCAATGTTGAGCCCAGGAGCTTGCCACAGCCACACTCCCCTAATCCATGTGCAGCAAATCACAGAAGCTAGGCCATGCTTTTGCTGTAGAGAGACTGTGAGTGCACACCCCAGCACTGCTCTCAGGTACTCTGTCTTGGCTGGGCTCATCAGCAGGTGCTCGGGGATGCTCTGAGGTGGTTGCGTTGCCACATCTCCTGCTCTGGGTGGGGGTAGGTGGGCAGGGTATGCTTCATTGCAGTGTTTCTGGCAGGGATGCCAGTCCCCAGCCACAGAGAGGGGAAGACACGGGCCTGACCTCACAAAGCAGGTCTGTGGCCAAGTCAGCACTAGAGCCCGATCCAGGGCTTGATGCGTGAGCAGGTTTCCTGCAACAAGAGTCAGTGAGAAAGAGTAGGGTAATTGGGGATCCTGGTTTTCTCTGTTTAAAAATCACAAATTCTCTGATTTTTAAACCCTCCAAATCCTCATTTCTCCCTGGTTAAAATGAAATGTCACTCATATAGTTATCAGTTGAACACAGTGTTTTATTGATGTATTTACAATTTTAAAGCAATTTGGAAGACTACCAGTGCCTCAATCATTATAATAAAACTAGCAAATTGCCTGTCAAGAATGACCGGGTAGGGGGGCAGAGACAGAGCGCAGTGTTTGGCCCTGCCCCCTTGTGGCTCCTGCCCAGAGCTGGCCCAGCCTGGCTGCAGCCCCACACTCTACTGTGGGTACAGAAATCTTGGGGTGGCACATGCCTCCCTGCCATGTCACCTGTGCACCCTCCCTGTCTCCCTTCAATATGTGGCCTTTGCCCCTTCCCAGCCCCCTGCCTAATGCATAGCCTGTGCTCTCCACAGCTGCCTGGTTGCCATGTGCATGTGCGCACACACTTGCACGTGGCACCCCCTGCCTAATCACCCTCTTGCTCCTGGCAGTCTCTTGCAGGCTGGAACTCTGTCAGCCTGCAAGGGGAACCTGCTGTTTCCCACATTGTTCTCCTTTAAGAGGGAAAATCCATTATTTTCTCCTTCAAAGGGGAAATCTGGATCCTTGGTAATAATAATCCCTGGTAATAATGATAATAGTTTAAAGCTCTGCTCTAATGTTCTCTGTCCATACCTCACAGTACTTTACAGTATTTCCCATGTACATATGGGGAAACAAAGGCACATCCAGTGATTAGTCCAGGGTCATGTGGCAAAATCAGGAATAAAACGGGTTTCCTGGACCCACTGTGCTGCTCTAGCCCCTAGGTAACACTATCTTACCAAGAGCAAGCCCACTGTGGCAGGCAGAGAAAGCCTGGGCAGGTCCTGTTACTTTGGGAACTAACAGATGGCAGGAGGGAGAGGCCAGGAGAATGCTTCTGTTCTAACCCCTCTTTGGATGAAAGCTGCTGAGATCAGGAGGTCGAGACTTCCATTCCCTGCTTCACCGTTGCCTCACACTGGGGCCTTCAGTGAGTTTCTCCCAGTATGTGATTCCCCCTTTCTGTACAATGGAGATGGTGGTGGCCCTCCCCTCAAAGGGGGCTGTGGTTGTTCAGAAGGAAACATCTCTGAGGTGCTGCGAGAGGGAGTCAAGATGGACAAAGGGTCGACCCCCCTCTGATCTTGACCTGTGGTAACAAGCTCGTAACTGATGAGACAGCTGCAGAGAGACCCCCCCACATTGAGTAGGCAGCATCACGGTGCCTTCCTTTTGGCTGGGGAGGTTTCTACAGGGCTGATGCCCCCACTCACCTCCTCTTTGCTTGCAGGTAAGCGGAGTTGTCTTCTTCTCCTCGGAGACTGCAGAGCAGCTCCTGGCCACCCACGTCATTCCCCCGCTCGACGCCTGCACCTACATGGGCCTAGATTCAGGGGTCCAGCCCATCCAGGTGATGCTTTCAGCCATGGGTTGGCCATGGTGGGGGGAGGGATCCCTTCGCTGTGCTGCATGGGGCCACAGCCAGAGAGCGGTTGTGTCACCTCTTTGCTGCTGAGGAGAGGGCAAAACTGCCTGAGGGCTGTGCCTGGGCATTGAGCCAGTTTCAGAGCAGGAGTGGGATTCCTTGGTATGGGAATGATGGGAGAGCATAGAAACCTGACCATAAAGGGTTAATTTGCTTACTTGGGCATAAGGTGGCCAAAAACAGGATGAACCCTTGCTGAGCTCACCCTCCTCAGGTCCCATGGGACAGACTTCTCTGCCCTTCTAGCAGGGCAGGTGAATGCACCTGTCCTGGATTCAAACTGCTACAAAAGAGACCCAGGTCTGACTCCAGGGATCAGGAGTTCTGGAAAGAGAGTGTCCTCAGCCCTGGGGTAGGGCCAGTGTCCCTTGTATTGCCTCACCCTGAGCTGTTGGAGAGCACCCCACATTGCAGCATGGTGGACTACTGGCACGTGCTGAGACATTCTCATTGTCTGCCCCTCCTCAGCTGTCCCTGTTTTTTGACATCATGCTGTGCATGGCTGAGGGCATGACCGAGGAGGACTTTGTGAATGGCAGGACCCAGGGAGCAGGCAGTAGCCATACAAAGGGGGCAGTGGGCATGAAGAGTGCCCGATCTGTGCTGTGGAAGGCACTCCATGCTCTCCCTCTCAGCATGGGTAAGTATGACCCCCTGCCCTGGGGCCTCCTAGTCCTTCCTCATACCACTCCAGCCCACTCCAAGATGATTTGCTGTGGTCTCTTGGCCTCTGACCAATGAAGATGCTTTCACAGTTGCCCCTTGGCTAGTGTCTCTGAGCAGCAGGTGACAGCCACTTCCAGTCACCTATGACTTCCCAGCTGTCACTTCCTCCTCAGCTGCTCACTTGGGCTGTGAGCTTGTCAAAGCTTACAATCTCAGCTGGCCAAGTCTGACCCACGCCTGGGTGGGATACTTCCAAAGGCAACGCTGTAGTGCTGCAGAGTGGGGGAAGATGGCCACTATTATTGCTGTTACATATGTAACAGTTCCACCAGGGGTCCAAAATGCTCTTCTGACTGTGGGGAGATGGCTGTTACTAGGGTTTCTTTCTAATCTATAAAGGGCTGTTGGCACTGTTTACCCCTGAAGTCTGGAGATGCTGCTGGGAGAGAAAGCAAGACCTCCTTCTCCCACAGCTTGGCTTGCTACCTCCTTCTCCCACAGGAGGTACCAAGACCTCCTTCTCCCCCCAGAGAGGTTTGTGGCTCATGCACTCATGATGCAGCTCCCTCCTGTTTCCCTGCAGCCTGCATCCCAGATGGCTCTTATGACTACATGACCATGGCTGCCAGTGACCACATCCACAACCTGACACTATGCACTGGCTCCATCAGCCACCTTCCCTTCTGCAAAGTGGCGCACTCCCATGTGGCAGTAGGTACTTCCCTTTCCAGCCCCTCTGCTATCACTCTCTGTTCCTTTCCTGCTCTCCAACCCTGGCCTTGCCGACAAAGAGGAGTCTCCGAGAACTCCCACTGGTTCAGGTGCCTGATGGCTGCTCTGGCCCGCACTGGTATTTGTGCCACATCACATGACACTGTGCAGAGCAGGCCTAGACAGCACAGCAGGGATGATGCTGCCCCACTGCTTGCAGGCAGTGCAGTGTAGTCTGTTAGGCAGGGCGTAGAACTGGGAGTTGAGAGCCCTGAGTCTTGTTCCCAAATCTGCCATTGACCTGCTGTGTGGCCTTGGCTAAATCACTTCTCATGGGCCCTCAGCTTTCCCTCTTGTCAGGCACCAGTCTCATTTAGCATAAGCTGTTTGGGGCAGGGACTATGTTTTATACGTATGCTTAGCACCTAGCACAGTGGGATCCTGGTCTCCCAGTGGGGTAATACAGTGCCACCCCCTAGGGAGAACTGCTTGGGTACTCAGCACAGACACGCTCCTTCACATTCACTCTCCTCCTCCCTCCTTGTCTCTCCACTCTCTTTCTCTTTCCCCTCCCTCCCCCTTCCTTGACAGGTTTGTTTCCACTTGTTCCCTGCAGCAGCCCCAGCTCCTGGAGGATGGTTCTTCCATCACCAACAGCCTGCTGGAAGGAGCTGTGCAGCTGGGGCCTTGGAGCGTGATCCAACACTGTCACCTGCGGGTATACTGCTTCCCCCTTCCCTAGGTCTCACAGGAACTTTCCTGCATGAGTGTCTCCTCCCCCTACAGGTTTTAGGAGCAACACAGAGATGTAAGATCTCTGTGCTGCCAGAGCAGCCCCAGTTTGACAGGATGTGAGGCTGGAGCTGGCTTAGAGCGGCAAGATTACAAAACTTGGAACCCAAAGCCCCGGGCTGGCTGCTGGGCCCCAAAAGAAGCCCTTTGTCCCTGCTGGTCAGGAACTGGCAGCCTGCAGGATCCTTTGTGCTTCTCCCTTGCCACTTTATAGGCTCAGGGGTCAGGACCGTTCCCTGTTCTCCTCCCCAGGACATTTGGGCCTTCAGCCACTTTTCTTGAGAGGCTCTTCCACAGCCTTGTGCATTGCAGTGGTGGGCCATTTTCTTCCTAGATTTCACCCTGGTCCTCCTATCTTTGGTGCAAACACCTGGTGAGTCACTCCCCCTGCCTGGCATTTACACTGCCACACACCCTTTTTTGTAGTTCTGCCCCTCTAAGTCAACAGAAGTGGCCCTTCATCATATCAGCTCCACTTCCCCCTGCTGGAATTTAGAGAACCATTCTCAGTTCTGGATGAGAGTGGTGCCCAAAGGCCCCTGGAGCCTGGTTATAAACAACTATGATGAAGAAAAGACCCTGTGAGTCTGGTGGTGGCTAGGTGGGCCCTAGTGCTGCCTCTTTTATTTCTGGAGCACTCCAGGAGGAGGAAGCTAGAAGCCTGATTTTTTTTTTTTTCCCCCACCTTCCCAGGGACCCTTGAAAATTGGATCAGGCTGCCTCCTCACCGGGCTGGACATGGCCTCCTCGCTTGCTCTCCAGAGCTGTCAGTTGCAAAACATTGTCATCCAGGGGCACTGCATCAGGCTTCAGGACATGCCGTGCAAAATGTTCACACTGACTGGGCACCACGATGACTGGCAGGTACTTTGGGTACCAAGAATAAGCCATTCTGTTAGAGAAGCATAAGGATAGGCACTAAGTTAGGTGACCTCCTTGACTATAATCAGACCTGTAGGTTCCGTGTTGTCATACTGATTTTCTTAGACATGTGGCTCTGAGCTGTGCTTTGGACTGGGGAGCACCAGTGGGCTGGTAATGGTGCCTCATTGAGGACCATTCCCCTAGGCTGGCATTGGGATCTTGAGGGTACTCTCTTTCAGGGCTCAGGTATGTGGAGTTACACCTCAAGGCTTCATGGCATTTTGGTCACCTCTGCAGACCACGGCCTGAGACCAAAACAGTTGTGACCTGTGTGAAAGCAGTGGTAGACAGCTGTTTGGAGGCATAAGACAACAGCCTCCATGGGGACAGTTTGAGAAAACCGGGCAGTGCTCAGCTAAGGCTGCATCCTTCTGGCCTGACACAAGGGAGAAGAGGGTAAAGAAGCCTGAGAATGAACAGCAGGAGTGAGTGCCTTGACTCATTGGAATGGGCTGTCCTCACAAGGTAACTCAAAGCACCCTGGATGCCAGCCGCAGCTGGTGCTTGCCTCAGGACTGGGACTTCCCATCACCCAGCTGCTGTCCTCTCCCACTTACAGGCAGTGTGAGGTTCATAAGCTGCATCTGCCCTGAGGAATGGACAAGTATCAGCCTGCGAGGTCCTGATGTCTAATGGGAAGTGGCTACAGACCCCCACACTGATTTTGCTGCTGTCTTTTCCCCTCAGAGCCCTGCTGGGGATGGAGGCACCTACCTGAATGTACCCTGGGCTGAATTCTTCCACAGGACAGGGATACAGTAAGTGCTAGAGGGTGTCCAGCCACAGCAGGGATCACAACCTGTGGAGGCCTGGGCCCACAGTGGACTATCTCTTCCCTTGCTGCCATGGTCCTGGGCTTCAGACCACATAGCCAGTGGGGAGGACAAGAGAGCTCTGGCAGCTGCCAAGGAGATTGGGGAGCAGAAGTCAGGAGGTCCTTGAATTCAGCTCCAGTCTGTTCACCTGGTTATGGGGAGATGAAGCCCCCTCTCAGCCTTGTGAACCCACCAGCTCCCAGGGCAGATGAGAGGAGGCAGGTGTGTGCAGAGGTTAGGGGATCATGACTCTGGCACCCAGCCCTTCTGGCATTCCTGTTTACAACTGTGTGGCTCCCTTTTTTACCGGGCTCTTGCTTTGGCAGGGAGGGGGATATTTGGGGCCCGGACACCCCACAAGGAAGCCGCTGCCTGCTGAATGCCCGCCTGTTCCCTGTGCTGCATGCCTGTGAGTCCCTGAGGGTCTGGGATGTGCTGTGGTTCCTGGGCTCCCAGACAGGAGGACAGCTCCAGCGGTGGCGAGCCTCATGGCGGATGTCCTGGGAGGAGTTGCTGACCTGCCTTGACCAGGCAGCAGAACTGGAGTCCCGCCGCGCACTCTTCTTCCTGCAGGCCGAATGCAAGCTCCAGAGTGTGCTGCTGGAGCACCAGGACCGCAGCCTCCTGCCACTTATCCGTAGTGCTGTCCATGAGGGCTACCAGGAGGCCATGCTGAGTACACTGGACCAGGGTGAGAGCCAGCTGGGGCAGCTGTCTCTGTGTCCTGCAGCAGGACTGGCCCCATTGGTGTCATGCTTTCCCCACATGTGATTCTCCATGGCATCATATCATGATGCCAGACAGGGCTTTGTGAGGCCCTGTCGTGATTTACCAGCATGGGTGGAGGCAGGGTAGACCCATGAACCCAGAGGCAGTGATAGATGGGGGAGACTGCAGAATGGGGACAGAGAGAATAAGGCACGTGGCCTGTCAGATGAGGAGGTCTGTGTCTCTCACTTTCAAAGGACACAGCAACAGCCCAACCTCAACTCCTATTGCAGTAGATGTCAGACTTGCAGCACACTAAGAGAGTAGCCATGAGCTGGTAGTGCAAAGAAGCAGCACCAAGCAGCTCCCTCCTGCTCTTAGAACTGCTGGGCCAGTGCTGCCAGGAGCACCTCGGAGTCATTACCTCTGTCTGTGGAGATGGGCATAGCACTGGCATTGGCAGCAACATTTTCTTTATGCTGTTCCTCACTGTATGAGGTCTGTTCAGAATGATATGGCAGAGATGCTCTATGGCTCATTCTGCCCTCAGCTCTTCCAAGTTGGGTTCATTATGATGAGCTATGGGAAGTGGGCATCTGGGCACTAAGACTCAGCAAGCTCATTTCATTCAGGGCACCCCGTAGCACAAACTCCTCTTGGGAACACTTGGGCTTGTTCAGGCTGCAGGAGTTTTGCAAGCAGAATATGAGGTGGCCTCCACCTGGGAGAAGGAGAGATTAATTTCTCCTGGGCCAATGACCCTTCAGGCTTTCAACCTGCTGGTCCATGACTGGCTGGTTCTTGCTGTTTACCCATGGCTTCTCTACTTTACAGTTGCATCCACTGCCAGTGACGCTGGAGTGGCAGCCCGGGCCCTTGCCTGCATTGCTGATGTCCTGGGCTGCATGGCTAAAGGAGAAGGGGGCTTACGGAGTGGTCCAGCTGCCAACAGGGAGTGGCTGCCAGCCTTCCAGTGCTTGGAGACTGGGGACATTGCTGGGGGAGTGAAGGCACTTGCCAAGGAGAGGAAGAAGTGGCTGGGCAGGTATGGCTAGGTAGGCTGGACTGACAAGCCCATGGCTTCTAGGAGCTAGTGAGAGGGAGACTGGAGATGGCCTTTGTTCTCCTCAGTGTCTGCCTGAGGGAGGATGGAGTTGCTGAGGTCCTCAGGGCTGACTGTAGGCACTGGCAGCACAAACAACAACTCCTTGCAGCTGATGGACCCCACTCACACCCCACTGGGAACCAGCAACTCCTAAGGCACAACTGTTTGATTGGCTTAGCCCAGCTTCTCCTCTCTGTAGGGCCCCTCCACAGCAGTGAGTGAAGCTCCAGCCTCCCCTCCCCCATCTGCACAATGCCTAGATTGTGGCCCTAGCCCAGTGGCTGGGGGCTGGCTAAGTGTGGAAAGTAACCATAGCAACATGTGCCAGAGGCCTGTATTGGCACCTGGTTGCCTTCCTGCAGCCAGCTCAGTGTGCTTTCAGACCGTGGCTGGCCCCCTCACTGACTCTGCCACTGGCTTGGCTGGACCTTCCTTCCCCAAGCTTTCACTTGTGCCCCCACACAGTGCATTGGCCCCTGACCCTTTAAAATCCATGGGGCTGGGAACAACCCTGTGGACCGGAGAGGAATTAGCTCCCATGTCCACTGATGCTAACAGAGCCAGGCACCTTCGTGCCCCAGAGCCCATGCCCTGGGAAGGTAGTTGTGCATTTGCTCCCTGCCTGCTGGCCACCAATATCCATCTCCACTTGTCATTGTAGGCCAGCTCTGCTGGTGAGAGCCGCCCGGCACTACGAGGGTGCCGAGCAAATCCTGATCCGTCAGGCTGTCATGTCATCCTGCCAATTTGTCAGTGTTGGCCGGGCAGAGCTCCTTCCAATCGGCCACTGGGTGCTGGTGGAGTGTCCTGCTCGGATAGATCTCTCTGGTGAGCAACTCTGTGTGCAGCAGCTTCAAGAGGCTTTCTACAGTCCTGGTTTCAAAGGGGTTTTCTTCCTGTCCTTAGCACTGGGCGTGACCCTGGTCTCTTCTCCCTACCCAGCCTAGGTGGGGCACAAGCCATCTTTTCTCCAAGGGACAATATAATGGCCCTCCTTTTACCCCAGCTCAGGAAAGCCTGAATGCTGGAGTTGTCCGAGACTGTAGATATGGCTTATAAAAGGTGCAGGAGAAAGCGCACCAGGCCCCAATGCAAGAGACACCACTGACTGAAGAGGCCTGTTCCTCTTCAATAGCAAGCAGCAGCCACCACACTGATACTCATTTAAGCACCAGCAGTGTACTTGTCCCCTCTACAGGAGCTGTGGTAGTTTGGGAGCAGGTGGAGGAGTGGGGCAGCTGTCCTGAGTTCAGGGGGATGTTGATGGAGAAGGATTTTGTGGGTGGGAGCTTGTGACACTGATTTTTGGAAGGACTTGAATAAAGAGAGAGTGGGGCCTGGCATGTTGGGATCCATAGGCCCATGACTATGTAGAGCAGCACCAGAGAAAGGGGAGGGCACCATGGAGACTAAGAGAGGCATGGTAGGAGGGGAGGCCTGCAAGCAGGTAGAGGGCTCTGGCTTGAGCATACATTTACCTGCTGCTTCCTTTGCAGGAGGCTGGAGCGACACTCCTCCAATCACATATGAGCATGGGGGAGCCGTGGTGGACGTCGCCATCCTGGTGGATGGGTGCAGGCCCATCGGTGCCCAGGCCCGGCGTATCGCAGAGCCAGAACTGCGGCTGGTCAGTACCAGTGGGACACTGGAGGGTGAGGTGCTGCTAGAGCTTGTGTGCCAGGATCTGGAGGACCTGCAGGATTACTGCCAACCTCATGCACCAGGTAGGACCCCAACTATCTGGTCTGAAGCAGCAGTGGCTGCAGAGCCACATCCCAAGAGACCAGAGATGGGGTTTTCATGCAGTACCCCAGGGATGGCAGAGCACATAGAGCTGAAGATTTGCATTCTTCAAGGATGCTTATGGGTTGGCTCCCAGGGGCGCTGACCAGGGAGCTACATGTTACCCCTTGGGTTGGGAACTGGTGTTTCATGGGCAGTAGCACCAAGTGTCTGGCTCCCCTGATTCAGGGCATGCTCTGCCTAGCTTTGCACAACTGTGGAGTCTCTTCAAACACCTGCCTTTTTGTTGGGGGATATAGCCTGGTCCAACAGCCTGTGCTGTCTGTGACATGGCACCTTAGTCTGGCCACAGACATGACTACATGCTCTTTACTCGCTGGCTTCTGCTGTCCATACGGGTTGTTTGCTGGGAGTGAAAGACAATTTTTGTCTGCATTGGCGTCCTCTGGGGGACTTTTCCTTTTGTTTCTAGGGGCCTTGCTAAAGGCAGCTTTCATATGCACCCAGATTGTGACCTTCCCTTCCCAGAAGCCCTTGCAGGTGCAGCTGCTGGAGAACTTTGGAGGAGGGTTTGAACTCCGCACCTGGTCCCTTCTGCCACATGGGTCAGGCCTGGGTATGTCCGTGTTCTGTCTTTCTGGACTGTGCAACGTGGTCTGAGCAGGGAGGTGGGGTTAACCCCAACCATGGCTCTGTGGGGACTTTGCTTCAGTACCCTATGCTGGCTAAGGGCAAGAGCCTCAGCCTGTTGCAGCCTTGCTTTGAGCCCAGCCTGGGGCCAGTTTGCCAGGGGCCTGGCTATTCACTCTGAGCACAGAGTGAGGAGCTCAGGGCTGTGGTACTCCTTGAGCTCATGTTCACCAAGCAAAGGCTCCATAGGATGGGGCTTCTTGGTAGTGCTCACTGAAATCATTGTTTCAGGGATAAAGAAACTCAGTCTCCCTCTGAGCTTTAGGGGGCACCCTAATCTCAACAACAGCCCTCATGGCCAAGCTAGAGGGCTCACTGGTAAGCTCTGTGGGACAGCCTAGCCAGTAGTCGCCAGCCAGCTGAGGGACACAACTGCAGTGCAGAGCATTAAGGAGAGAAAGAGATGCCTGGAATAGAGCTGGCTTTGTCCTCTTCTCCAGTTCCCCTCCCCATAAGGCCCAGTGAGGGTGCCTGCACTGCCTGGCTTCTGCTTATTTGTGGAACAGTGCTGGAGCAGTTGTTGGGAGCAGAGCTGGGTACCCATCCCTATGTACTCTCTTCCTTACTCCTCTGCTCCTGCCTTTGGCTCCCCCAGGCACAAGCAGCATCCTGGCTGGTGCAGTGATGGCATCTCTGTACCAAGCAGCTGGGAAGTCCACCAGCGCAGAGTCCCTCATCCATGCCGTGCTGCACCTGGAGCAGGTGCTCACCACAGGTAAAGGCTGGGAGGAGAGTTGGGGAGAGGGGCAGAGGAGGCCCTGGGCTTAGTTAGAATAATAGAAGGTTAGGGTTGGAAGGGACCTCAGCAGGTTATGTAATCTAGCCCCCTGCTCAAAGCAGGACCATCTCTCTTGCCAGTGTCCCCATCCCGTGTCTCTTTCCTTTTTATGTACAATCTTGTTACCTGTGAAACCTCATACTCTGAACCAATTAGTCCAAGTGCCACCCTGCCCTACCTTCCAAGCAGCCTTGACAGATAGATCCCAAGTGATGGAGTCTCTTAGGAAGCTGATCAGTGGTTAATCACCTCCACTTAAATAGCCATATCTCAGTTCGGGTTTGAGAAAGTATGTGCGCACATGTATGCATATATGCACAGGCACAAGCAGATGGGCTCATTGCCCCTCACATTAGGAGCTCTGACGGAGAGGGAGAGATAGCGATCATGGAGCTCAGCTACCCCCCCCCCAGCTACCAAACCACTGCCATCCTGGGCTGTGAGTGGGACTGCAACTGGGAAGGGGCCTTTTCCTGTGGTCAAGGCCCAGTGCTGTTTGAAGGTCCTTGTTGCCTGCAGGAGGGGGCTGGCAGGACCAGGTGGGCGGGCTTGTGCCAGGCATCAAGATTGGGCGGTCGAAGGCCCGGCTGCCCCTGAAGGTGGAGGTGGAGCAGATCCCCATGCCGGACAGATTCATCCAGACACTGAACCAGCACCTGCTTCTAGTGTACACAGGAAAAACTCGGCTGGCCCGCAACCTGCTCCAGGTAAAGTATAGACAGTCATGCCACCCTCCTCACCCTGTGGCTGGGAGCTGCTGGGGCCTTGAGGTGCCTGCCCGTCGCCATGCCTGAGGCCGGGCCCTGGCTGTGCTCCCACACGGCCTGCATCACACCTGGAACAGGAGGAGACAAGGCCTTGTTCAGCAGTATCTCATGGCTACGACTCCTCCTGTGGGAACCCCACTGCCAAGAGAACCCAGGAGTCCCAACACCTGGAGGTAAAGCTAGGCAATCACCTTGCTGGCTTGACAATCACCTTGCTGGGGTCGTTTGACCCCAGTACTCTTTCCTGCCATGGCAGGGGGTCGGACTTGATGATCTCAGGTCCCTTCTGACCCTACTTACTATGAAACTATATGACCCTTCCACTGCTCCTCATGGACTCTGGCCAGCTCCCCCCAAGTAGGGCTGTGACAGACTTGGTGAAGAGAACAGGCCCCCTGCAGCCTTTTGGTCATTTCCTGCTATAAACCTCATTGCACTTTGCTAGGAAGGGGCAGTGAGACTCAGTGAAGGGAAACACCCTGACCAGTGTTGCAGCCTAGAATACACTTCCTGCCCCTGCTCTTTTCACCAGACCACAGCTGTTGCCACTGTCACACATCACAACACCAAGGTGACATGGTGAAAAGTCAGGTGCCTCCCTTGCTTGGCTCTGCCCCTACTGCAGAAAGTTTCCCCCTAGCAGCAAATCCCACACAGCTCTCCCTGAGTATCAGCTTTTGGCTGTTATCTAGAGGCCCAACCATAGAGCCATACCCTGTCAAAGGAGATGGCATGTGCACCTGGCTTAGATGGGGAGGCAAGGTACAGTCACTCCTTGCCATTTTAATCATTGTGGTGCTGCATAACATTGCTTAACCTCGCTCCCAAGAGCCAGTCTCTGTTAACTCCTCCTTCTGCTATGACAGCTGGGCTTGCTTCAAAATGACTTCACTGCCCCTGACTATAGGCCATGCTGGAAATTGTTCTTCCAGTAACACTTCAAGGCCCTTGTCAGGATGGGAGCTGGCCACTGGGCACAAATGCTGCCCCACCCAGCCTACAACCTTGCTTTCCTCCCACAGCTCTCCACTGTCTTCCCTCCCTTTCATTTTAAAAACTGTTTCAGGCTGCCAGCTGCTAGTCAGGTATAGGACTAGTGGCCAGTGATGAGAGCACGGAGGATTCAAAAGATCTGAGCACACCCTGGGCCCCTATATCTTAACCTGGATGGGGGACCCTCCAGGGATCCTATTGCTCTGCATGAGCCCAGAGGAGTTCAGCCACACAGAGCAGGGAGGATGGATAGTAACTATTAACATCTACAGGCAGAGCTTTGCCCTGGGGCTCTCTAGAGAGCTCAGAACTTGCCTGGGGGAGAGAGCTATAGTCTATAGGGCAGCTGAAATAACTGAGCTGCTTCAGTTCAGGCAAGGCCTGAAAGTGGGGCTCTGTCTTCTCTGGTGGGTGTCAAAGCTCCCTTGGCTACAGCTAGTGCCTGTGCTTGTTCTCCTCTCTCCCTGTCTGCGAGGTCTGCCTTCCTGCAAGCCACACAGACCCAGTATTAGAAACAAGTTAAATAAGCCCTCGTTCTCCATTGTAGGAGTTGGCATTAGACGCTAAAGAAACCGCAGCCAGAGTCCAAGAGTGTATTCCATTTTTGTGTGTGTGAAGGCGATACCTCCCATGACTGGCTTTTCCTTGCAGGATGTCCTCAGGAACTGGTATGCCAGGCTGCCAACCATTGTGCAGAACACTGATGCTCTAGTGAGCAACGCAGAGGAGTGTGCCCAGGCCTTCCAACAAGGTAACACAGCTGTAGATGAGTATTGCATAGCCTTTTTCTGTGGTGAAGCAGAGCCTGGACAAGCCGAGGTGGTAGTTCACTGACTGGGGCCTGGCCTTGAGAAATGCTGTTCTCGTTGGCAAGCACTTGGCTAGAGCATCCTGACAGAGGGGCTGCAGCCGGCAGGCAGAAATGCTGCCAGAAATCATGGTCTGTATAAATTTCTCCGTTGGATATGACACGGGCTCAATGGGGCTTGTAGTGAAGGGCAGTTATCCATCTATCAGAGAGGTGCAGGCATGTGAGACTCCAGTCCCTACAGACCTTGCCTCCACATATTAGTTTCTGGGAAGGCTGCATTGCATGCTGGGAGTTGAATTTGGCAGGGAGCAAACCTTCACAATAAGGGCAGCTGCCATCTGCTCCATTTCGAGCCCATTCCAGGGAAGCCTTAGCTCTCTGGCATGCCAGCCCTGCTCTGAAGCCTTTTGTGCAGTTCCAGGTGGCAATGGGAAATCAAACTGGCAGAGCAGGGTAGGGCGAGAGCAGCAGGACAACATGGAGTGTGGAGCAATGCATCAGGTCCAGACCTCCAGAGTTGTTGGAGCCTGTGGGCAGCTCCTGCTGTGGCATTCTGCTTATGGAATGGATAAACTATTTGCTCGGCCTGGCATTTCAAACCCAGGCAGATCTGTACAGCTCATCAGCTGACCAGCTAGCTGCCCCAGTCCATTCCCCAACACCTTTAAACTGGGTGCTTGGGCAAGTCCCACACAGACCACAGAACAGTGATTCCAGCTTCTGCTGTGGGGGCAGTAAGCATTCCCACAGGGGTGACACCTGATGGAGGAGCTGACCACGTGTGGTTGAGTTTTACTACTGCATTAAGAGGCTGCAGCTTCTGAAGAGTGAATGAGTCGGAGGGAATTCACACAAGCAAAATGCTTGGAAGCTGCACATGAAACCTGAGCAAGCTATCTGCCTTTGGTCAAGCATGGCAGCACCTCACAGCATCTGTGCTAAAATTCAAACCATACCTGTACCAGAGAACTCTGAAACCAGCCTGTCTCCTCCCCTCCTAGAAACACTAAAGGGCTGACAAAGTCCTATAGAGAGGTGAATTGATGCCTGTGCTGCTTGTGCCTGTGCATATATGCATACATATGTGCACACACTTTCTCAAACCCTAACTGAGATACGGCTATTTAAGTGGAGGTGATTAACCACTGATCAGCTTCCTAAGAGATTCCATCACTTGGGATCTATCTGTCAAGGCTGCTTGGAAGGTAGGGCAGGGCAGCACTTGGACTAATTGGTTCAGAGTATGAGCTTTCACAGGTAACAAGATTGTATATAAAAAGGAAAGAGACACGGGATGGGGACACTGGTAAGAGAGATACTAAGTGGATTGACTAGATTAGTTAAGATGAACAAGGTGGTTAACACATGGAGTAAATGACTAGTTCAGAGAATGGGATATGAATCTAGATTTCCTGTTGAGACCATGGTTGATGTGGTGCAACCTGTGGATGATTTTCTGTTTCGCAGTGTCATGTTTCAGGGCAGTCCCTGCATATAGCTATGCTGAGATGAGTGATGGAAGGTCCAAGGAGGTTAAAGTGTTTCATCACAGGGCTTTGTGTGTTTCTCAGGTTGATGCTGAACCAGCATCCATTTGTTCTTGTGCAGGGATTTCCCTGTTTAACCAAAGCAGATTGCAGAGGGGTACTATAAGGACTCTTTCTGCCAGTCCTTTCCTAGCATCTGCTGACCTAGGTTGTTGCCTACAGAAGCTTATGCCTCTGTGAACCAGTTGGTTTCTAAGCTGCAACCCTACCCTGCCATCAGACTAATGTGGCTAACCACCTCTGCACTCAAGGTCAGGATTATTCTGTAAAGACACCCCTGCCACCCCATGCACACACACATACCATAGACTCTAGTAATGACTGCTAAGGTTATTGGAAGTTTTTCAGCTATTCAAATGTAGACTGCATGATAAGATCAGTGCTTCACAGCCCTACAATTACTAATGCAGCTACCATGCACAGGTTCCTGTCTGTTAAAACTATACTATACTAATGCAGGGGGTCCTGTTTGTCTTGTACAATGTACAGATTTTAATTTTAACATAAAATGTTTAAATGTGCTGTAGCTTGGTCACGAGCTCTAGACATGAGGCAGGAAGCCCTGGGGAAGTTTCTGTGCTCCTATTATGCAGGTCAGAGTAGATAATCATCTTGGGGCCTTCTGGATATCACCGGGAGTGCCAGGTTACTGACTGCAGAAGCTGTATTGCTGATGGCCATAATAGCAGAGGCCAGACTCTGGCTCTTCAAATTACAGAGCAATTTCGCAAGTCAGCAGCTGCCTCTTCTCAGAAGCATGGCTCTGGAATCAGAGAGAGCACAAGGGTACCACACAGATTTTTTAAATGTATTTTTTTTTAACTACAGATGTACTGAAACATTAAAGGAGGTGCAATATTTCCCCTTCCCCATGGAAGGTTATAAATATACAGGCATGATTAAGAGAGGCTCTGGCACAGGAGCAGTGATGCATTTCTGCACTGTAGAACAGTGAAGAATCAGGATAACAGAGTAAAATAATTCATAACTGATAGAAGCAGCAGAGTAGACCCAGACTCTGTTCTGTGTAGGTTCAGAAAGGTATAACAGGCAGGACAGGGGACAAAAAATTGTTGCTGTCTTTGTCTTGACTGACTCTTGGAGTTCTTGCTCTCTTCTCTAGGTAACCTGCCTTACCTTGGTGACTGTCTGAACCGCTACTGGCAGCAGAAGAAGTGCATGGCCCCTGGTTGTGAGCCTTTAGCAGTCAGACACATGATGGAGGCTCTTCAGCCTTATGTCTATGGGCAGAGCTTGGCCGGAGCAGGAGGTGGTGGGTTCCTCTGTGTCTTAACCAAAGAGCCCAGGCAGAAAGAAGCCTTGCAACACATTTTAGCTAAAACAGAGGTGAGACATGAGCAAAGAGGTGTGCCTGTCCACTGTTGAGGAACTTGAGCTGTGGATGGCTCTGCATTGTCTTTATATTGGCATAGGTCCCAAGCACAGCAGCAGAGTACAGATTACAGAACCCTTCCCTGTGCAGCCTGACAGGAAATGAAGACGGAGGTGGAACTGAGTGTGCAACTCATCCTCAGTACACATGTGCTGCTGTAGCACCCCTCAGTCATTAGCTGTTCAGAGGGGCTAGATAAGGGATGAAGGAAATGCTCAAGCCAGTGGTGTTTAGCCTCCTAGCCCTACAAACCAGGTGCATAATACAAGGCCAGGCCAGAGGCTGGATCTGGCTCACAGGTTTGGTCTGTGGATACAATCTGGTGTGCAGGCCCAGCCCTGCATGTTGGATCTGACTGCCTGCCAGCGTGGTCCTACCTGCATGCCAGATTTGATGCTGCATGCAGGGAGACCTACTGGCTGGATGACATGGCCTCACAAGCCAGAGGTTGAGCACCCCTGCCCAAAGCCATTACTGCATTACAGCACATTTCCTGATGAGACTTTAATAAACTAACCCTTTGTTCTAGGGCCTGGGGAATTTCAGCATCCATACGGTTGAAGTTGACACAGCCGGTTTCTCCATGCAGCTTGTGGGGAGTGACCTGAAATCAAATGTCCATGGAGGGGGTGAAATGGCTCACAGGGCCCTGTGACTGCCTGCAGCCCTTCCCTGATCTTTACATGCTCCCAGTGAATATTCAGAATGCAACCCTTCCATGATATGGAAAACCTGCAGTGGGATTTGCCACCCACAGTAGCTGCTGCCTTTCAACGCGTCGACTTCCAGTTTTGATAGCAGCAGCCAAATGCATCTTATGGCTGTTGAAGTGTATGCATTGCTGCCACTGGCTGAGCCAGGAAGCCCCCTTCTGTTAAGACATGCTAAATTAACACTACAAGAGTTGGGCACAGTCATGGTCAGTCATGCTCGAGAAACTCTTCACTTCCCCCTGCAACACTAGGCTGCATCTACTGCAGTAGGGGCCAAGCTTTTTGGCAGGGGTGCGCAAATTAGCTCTGTACCTCCCCAAACTCCTGTTCCCTCTGCCTGCCCAATCAACTGCTCTGCTTTCTGCTTCATGCTGTATCTGCCACTATGTTCCCTTGCTACATACCACACACAGACTGGCATGTCACTTGTGGCACCTGTGCTATGTTAGACACCCCTAGTCAACGTAGCAAAATGAAGGCGTGAATACTGCTTGGGGTATACCCATCAAGCTTGCTTGGGTAACAATAGCAAGGAACAAGAGTCACAAGCTAGCAACCAGAGCATTTACTATGGGCTCCCAAAAGGCATGCATACTGGTTGGTAGCTCATGCTGGGACCGCTTTACTGCTATCATGCTTTACTTTGCTGCATGGATGTGCCCCAACCACATCACACTCCATGCTGAACCAGCAGCCTGACAAAGCTGCGTCCTCTGTATCCTGCTTGGGAATGGACCTACCCACTGGAACTTGAGCCAGAGAGAACAGGACTAGCCTTTGCCACGAGGGTTACTTTTCACCAAGCCTTCCCATTTAGAAGGGGGCAGAAGAGCAGCTTTTCCTTCTGGCAGTGGGATTAAACCAGTAGGAAAGAAGGCAGCTTAATGGGGCTAATGAATGTGTTAGACTGGTATTATGAATGGTACAGTATGTTCTGACACAGGTTCTCATGACCCTCAAGGTGAGAGAACAGCAGCCAAGCCCAGCTGTGTGGCTGTTTTCTGCTGGACACTCCCATTCCACCAGCTGTAACAGCCCAAATCTATGCCCATAATGAAGGCATGGAGCTCTTTCCTGCTTTGATGGGTTCAACCTCACTTCCTGATATTTCCTGGAAGGAAACAGTGAAACTGTCCAAGTGTCTTAGAAAGGGAGCATGTAAACCATTTTATTTCTGTAATGAGATGTCACTCTGTCTCCATTTCTTTGACTAAAAAGATATCCTGTGTCCCCCTGTGTGGGTTCCCATACAGCACAGTGTCACACTGCTCCTCCCCATCCCTGCAGCAGACAGCCTGCATTCTTCTGAGTGCTCCGTAAACTTGAGTCAGGCCTAGCCTTCCATGCTGGAGTACTAGGCATTGCAGGAAGGCAGAGATGGTAAAGATGCAGCTAGTCCTCTCCTTCCCCTGCCTTAACCATTTGCAAGCTATGCGGCTACTGGACTACTAGCTTAATAAAAACTTAACTCAGGCTCCCTTGAATGAGTGCAGTGCCATCTGCAGGGGCAGTGGTAGGAGGCACTTTCCTCACTGGAGCACAGTAGAGATGCGAGACATAGGATAAAGTACATACCAGAGCACAGAAGGAACAGGCTTTTCCCCTGTTTACCATCCAGCTGCCCTGTAGACCAACTCTCCCAATTCCTCCAACCCTCTACTGTTACATATTACACCCAAATGAATGCTGCCCATCTCTGCCTTTATTTACTAACTTATTTCACAGGGCACAAACAGGAGCAACCACCCTGCTCCTTTTGTAAACTTTACCATCAGCATAAATGTGATTTTCAAACAAGCCCCAAGGAAGCTTCACCCACTGGGACCATTATTAAGAATGAAGCCTCCATCCATCAGCCCCCGGGGCTAGGGAATGAGCTCTCACAACTATAGTAACCAAGGTGTCAACTAGCAGCACAGAAAGGGGAAGGGGACATGAGTTACACCGTCTAGGAGCAGGGCAGCACCAGATATAGGCGTATGGCCTTCAAGCCACTCTTCCAGTGGTTCCACAGAGTTAGAAGACATCAAGTACTGCTTGAGACTCCTCACAGCAGCAGCAGCATGTAGCACTACAGCACTGTGGTCTGTGGAATCTGCTACATTGGGGCAGGCAACATTTTTTGGCCAGAGTGCTGACAAACCACAATGCCTACCTTGGACAGTGCCAGAGTGCCAGCATGCCAGAAAAACAAAAGGGGGGGGGGGCAGGTACATGGCAGGATGCACTGCGTCTTAGTATAGTCAGTAATCATAAAAGTTGCTTTTTTTCTTTACAGTAAATATCAGATCTTCTAAAAATTCTAAACCTGGCAACAATAAATAAAACTTCATATGCTACCTTTGCTTTTGTGTATTTGTTAAGCATGTTATGAGAGTGAGAGAAAGGAGACAAAAAAGAGGGGAGAAAGAAGGAACAGACAGAAGAAAAGAAAACAAAAAAAGGAGAGAAAATAAATAAAGAGGGTGCTGAGAGGGAAAGCCTAGCCAGGGCTCAGGCAGCACCAGGGCTGGACAGCATGGGGAGGCATTGCAGGAAGGCTGGCCCAGCAGGGCCCGCTGTGGGGCTCTGCAGACTCAGGCCATAGTGGGGGCACCCAAGGGCCCTTGAGGTGAGGGCTCAGCCCAACCCACACAGCTCTGCAGGAATGGGGAGCAGGCAACCTGTCTGTTAGGGGACTCCGCCTGGCTGAGGCAGGACACCGAGTTTGGTAGTCTCCCGGTTCAGCTTCTGTGTATGCTGGGTACAGCATGAGTGGGACAGAGCCTCTGAAGCTGCAGGAGCGCCCCAGGCTCTGGAAACAGTTGTTGGAGGCAGTGCTTGGTGCTGAGCCAGCTGGGAGCCAACAGCCCTGCACAGGACCTGGCCCACTGAGGGGAACTGTGGGTGGACAAGGCCAGGGGCCGAGCAGGCTGGGGCAGCTGTTCTCAGGAGCTCCCACAGCCAGGCTCTTGCACTGGGGGCAGCTCCACCCTGCTCACGCTGCACCCAAAGCCGCCCCAAACCCGGCATCCTGCCACGGCCAGACAGCACCTCACAGGCAGGACAGCTGTGACCCATCCCTGTGAAGCTGTGCAGGCTCAGCCCCACCTTGGGCACTGCTGGGTGCCCCTACCCACTGCAGCCCGAGCCCACAGAGCCCCAGGGCAACCTCACTTCCCACCCAGCGCCTTCCCAAAGGCCTCCCCCTATACCTGCTTCTCCCTGAGCATCCAGCCCCAGTGCTCAGCACCCTGGTGGGATAGGGCATCCATCTGCCTGAGCCCTGGGCTTCCCCATCCACTGGGAGCTGTCAGGGACTGGGCTGAAGGGCGCAGCCCAGGGACAGAGGGCAGGGTCAGAAAAAAACATACTGCATCCCTGCCTGTGTTCTCCTCGACTACCCCTGGTGCCTGCTGCAGTGCTGAGACTTGCGGCTGCTCTGGATAGCCCAGAGCAGCAATTTAAAAAAAAGAAACCAAACAAACAATTTCCTTGTACACCTCCTGGCGTGCTGGGGAAAATGTCTCTGCATGCCACTACTGGCATGTGTACTGGGGTTTGCCAATCCCTGTGCAACTCGAAGGGAGAGGAGGGAAGGAGTGAGACAGGTGCTAAGCAGTCCATAAGAACAGACTAATTCTGTGGTAGTAATGTCATGGTGCTTCAATAAGGAGCTCCACTTGTATTCTTCTGTTCTTGAGATTTCACTGCAGCCACAGTGGACAAAAGGTAACCACATGGCTCTTCAGCATCCAGTTCTTCCCATCCCCAGGAAAGTCCTTTCGTATCTGCAAAATGGAACATGAAAACAGACACCCAAGGCCAGCATGTGACACAGCTGGCATCTCCTTTGGCTTGTGAATAGGCAGGGTAGCATGACCAGAGGCTGCTAGTGTGCAGGCCACGCTGCATGTCCGAGAGAATCACTATAAGCGCAGCCTTTTAATGTCCTCGCTACGGAAGTCGATTCGGAGGGCTAGCACTTGTCGGACCTCTGCTGGAGTGAGGCGCCACGTCAGGGGGCCTGAGTTTGGACCCCAGTAATCCAGGATTTCCGTTACCTAGAGAAAGAGGACAACTGTGGAGCTATGGTAAGCAACACAACAAAAGCATCCCCTGTACCCAAGGCTATGGGTATGTCTATGATCACAGACAATCCAGGGAATTATGTGGGATAATGACTGTCAACAGCTCTTGTGAGCTACCTCAGCTAGTGGGCAGGTGTGGGAAGCTCCCAGCCTCTCCCAGGCCATGTGCTACAAAACCTGGCTGTGCTGAATATGTCTTCTTGGGAGCCACCTGGCCATTCTAACCCCACTAAAGCAGGCAGAGAAGGCAGCTCACCCTTTCCAGATTGAGGATAGTTGCCATTTGGGAAAGACGAGCAAACTTGTCTCGGATAGTCCAGGTGGTCACTGTGGTGAGATATGCTATAAGAGATCTCAGCTCCTTGTCAAACTGCAGGCCACCAAGCTGAGGAAACCAAGCACACTGCATTACTCCTCTTCAACAGGCACATGGTTTTGTGATGCCAGATGCACATGCACAGATGTCACCCTTCAGAGGGGGAGGATTTCAACTACACCCCTGTCTCAGGGGCTGAAAAGTAGGCACGCACTTGTAGTCAGGAACTCCTTAGCTGGAGCTGAACCCTCTTTATCTGGAAGACAGACACTCCCAAATGCTTCCTTCTGAAGCTTATGCTTCAATGAAGGCTCTTTTCAGCTACCTTAGCCTGGTCAAAAATACTGTGGTCATGGAGATGGGGAGGAAATTTGACACTGGCTCAAAAGGCCATATGGCAGCAGGATCCCTGATGTCAGGGCCCAGTGCCATTAACAGTGGGTGAGCAGATGTGTGACTGAGTTCCAGATATGCATCTCTCCCACCCTCATCCTCACGCCTGTCACAGGAAGCAGAGTTTGAGACCAGACTCTCCTGGGATAGCAGTGAAGACAGGATGCTGCCATTTAAGAAAAGGAAAACACCATTCTTTGCTTACCCTGCTAAAGGTGGATTTGAGAACCACTTTCTCCAGTTCAATGGCCACAAGACTGGTCATCAGGCTAGTGAGGCTGTCATAGATCACAGGTGATAGACCAGCCTAGAAACAGAAAACTAGGTCACTATCAGAACAACAACCAGAGGTTAATGGGCACAAACACCAATGAAAAAGTTTTGGGGGTTTTTTTGGTGGGGCGAAGGAGGGTGGGGAGACCCTGCCCATTCATGGGCCAAAGGAATTGCTAGCTCTGTCATTTCTATACTGACTGAGAACAGCTACATTCATGGTACTGACAAGCAGGCTTAAAATAATGGAGTCAAATGACACCAAAACTGCACAGCACAGCCAGAGTCTGGACTTCAGAAAAGCTGTAGGATAATACTGATCTCTTGGGCTTTCAGTACTTGGAAGGCAAACCAAAGAGCTGACTTTGGGATGTCTGATACAGCAAGGTGAGGAACTGGGGGACATCTCTCTCCTTTCACCAGAACCAGGGCCATGACATCTTGGTTTGCAATTTTCTGAGTACGACTGAACCAAAACCTGACACTGCCAGAGCTCACCTTGAACTCTGCCATTTGCTGTTCAAGGTTGACGATGAACTGCTGGACCCAAGGGTCGTTAGCTTCATAGTCGTTGAACTCCTCCTAATATTGAAGAACACAACAGAGGGTTGTTAACTCACCCCACAGCTATCACCCACCACTGCCCAAAAATACTTTCATTTGTAGCTTCCTTGGATGCTAGAGATGTACTATTGGCACCCAGCTGGCTCGCCAACTGTCCCCAGTATCCACACTGCATTGTGATGTGTGATTTCCTCCACAAGCCATGAGAATACAAGCTGGGTCCAACCTTGGCATGAATTTATGTAGCTAGCACCCCTATTAACAACATATGTAGCTATACAAGCCAAAGATTATTTATGGTCGTGCTTCAGAGTATAAGATGATTGCTTGTAGGGTGTAGGACTCCCAACCTTCCTTTGCCACGTACAATAAGACAAAACTGAGCAGGCATCTTCCAGTGAGGAATTCAGGAAAATATAGGAAGAGTCTTTCTGGACCATTTAAACACAATCCACTGAATTTAGAGACAGTCACCAACCGAAGGAATCACAAAGCCACTATTTCAAACCCCCACCCACAACCATAAGGGACTATATCCAAATGCCACAAATGCCCTATAACATTCCACAAGTAAAATCTAGGGTGATGAGGGCAATGCATCATATACAAGGCAGGCCTACTTGGTTCAGTCTAATCCAGTACAGCTATTTAAGCAATTAACCACAAGGTAAACCCCTGAGACACTGGCACAGAAAATCATCTGGGACAGGCAAGGGGTACAGAGTAGATATTCCTTTAATGCATATACTGGTCCACCCCATGCAGACCAGGTATTATTACGCATTTCATTACTGGACATTGCTGGCATCAGAACTCTTGGACTGTAACACGTCAGAGAAGAAATGTCCCTGCTGGGGCAGCATTTCACTCCCTGTGTTTTTCCTACATCCTTCAGTCCAGGGGGGGAGCAACTTCCATGCAATTTCTCTGCCTGCCTGCATGAAACTAAGAGCAGGCAAAAACGCCAGGACATGAAATGCATCAGATTCTTCTGACCCTTCCCACCACTGTATCAAAGCCTTACAGAACTAAACATTCCAGGAGCATTCACTTACCTCCTCAATGTTATGGGAGACTGAAAGGAACAGGTTGATCCAGGGCTTCACCTGGGGTTTGATGGCTGAACTGTTCAACTCATTCAGACCTTCCTGAGGAAGGAGAGGAGAAGCACATGTCAAACAAATGAGCACAACTACATGGCAGCTAGCAGACAACAGCCTTCACTCACAGCTGTGAGCCCGCTGCACTGATGTTACATTGACATGAGAAAGCAAATGGAGAAGGGCAGTGACCTGCAGACTCAAGTGACAAGTTTGGTGCAGAGTAGAATGGAAATGAGTTCTGATGCCAGGTCCCATGACCTTGTGGCCCAGGGGCAGAAGGGCCTCAAGATGGGTGGGGGAGTTTCACTAACTGAACTTGCCAGTTTCCTGACTCACAGATAAACTTTAGAGGCTCACCCATCTACCATTTTCTGTTCCCAGGATGGTGGCTTTCTGCCAGCAGGAGGGAGGTGTCCTGCATGCTTTCCACAACAGTACGAGTGCAGAATACTGTTGGGGCCAGGGAGAAGGAGAAGGCCAAGACCAAGTGCCAGTGGATGCTCCACCTCCAGCAAAGCTTTGTTCAACAAGAAACGTTTAGAGCAATGGATGAAAGAATAGTTACCCCTCATTCTCACAGAGGCTCCCCCAAGAGCAACGTTCTGGAAATTAAATGAACCTCACACGTCACTGCAGTGCTACACAACTCACTAAAAATCTCCCCTGCCAAGAAGCCCCCAGCTTGACTCCAAGGGACTTCAGGCATATTCACCAAGTGAGAAGTGCTTCTTGTCAGGTACAGACTGTGGCTGGCATTTAACAAAAGCTTTTAATTAAAATTTTAGTGGCTCTGCTGGCAGCCACCTTTTACTACTGAAGAGGGATATTTGTGACTCAGGCAATGTGGGAGGCCACTGACAAGGGACTCAGTTGCTCTCCATCCAGCTTTAACTAGACTACTTTAGCATCAGACAAAGAAGTTTTACTACTTAAACAGGGACCATTTTGTCATATTATTAGCCTTGGACCTCAAGAGAACCTGGCTGCTGAAGGCAACTGATTACAATAACTGCAAAGCAAGATAAAAACATGGTTTTGCCCTTTACTACTTCTCTGTGAAGAACAGAATTCGCCTCAAGGGCTGTTCGTATCAAGTTCTCTTTTGTTTGGTTACCTTACAGTGGAACTATCAGGCCTCCATTTTCCTTTCCTTGTTAGGGATCTCAGAGATCTCTGGAGGACCCGATCAGAGATACCATATGAGACTGTAATCTTAGCTACAACTCTCCCTGCCCCCAAGTGAGGGAAGGGGATGCTGAATATCTTAATAAGGGAGCAGAGATGCTGGTTCTCAAGTGACATCTGGGGGATACTGAGGAACAAGAATAGCTGCTGCTCTGATTATAAACCTTATGCCAACATCATTACTCAAGCCCTTAAAACATCTGCCGTGGTGCCTTATGAAGAAGCAGCTACAAATGGCACTATTAAAAATACTGCTCCTTTAGCTGCCAAGACAGCCTTTCTTCAACTAACAGCAGTAGTAGAGGGGGCCATGTTCTTCCTGGCTCTGCACCTGGCATATGTTATTCCTCAGCAACTAGAAGACATCCCTCATATTCAGACCAGGGTGTATGCTCCTATGTCAAGAAGACATGGTAGCTCCCCTCAGCATCACTTCCACCAGAATGACTGAACTCAAGGTTAGAGCTAGCACAGGCCTGGTGCTGAACCAAATTCATCCTCTTCTGATGATATCTGAAAAGCAAGCCTGGTTTCTTCTACTTGAGGGCACCACACAGACAATTACAGCCTGGCTGTAACAAAGCAAGAAACTCACCTGCAGGAGGTCTCTGAACTTGTTGGATACTGCAGCCATGTCAGAGAGGCAGCTGTCAATCTTGGCCTGGGCTTGCTCACCCCCAAAGCCTTGACTAAGCAGCTTGGAGCAATCACTCTGCAGGACAAACACAGCCATAAGCAGACTGCAGGTTATAAATAAAGGACACTTGAAGCTCACTGCATTCTGCTTTGAGAATGCAGACTCTTTGGGATGGAGACTTTTTGTTTGTTTGTTTTCTGCTTGCCTGGTGTCCAGTGCCATGGGACCCTGTTCTATGACTGGAGCTACTCCCATGATAGATCCTGCAGTAGCACCTCATGCCCTGCCCCCTCCCCCCTAAGGATTTGGATAGCAATCTCTAAGAGAGGGATAAACAGAGCAGAGGTGAAGCAATTTGCCCAAAACCATATAGCAGATCAGTGGCAAGGCCTATAAATCAAACTTTCCCCCTCTTCTTGGCTTTTTTGGTGTTTAGAATTCTTTTATAATTTTAAAAAACTTAGGACTTCAACAAGATCATTTCTGGCCTGGATGTAGGCTTCAGCCAATCAATCTTTTCTTCCAGAAAGCTGCAAGCCCAAGTCTCCTCTTCTGGGCCTAATGCATCAACAGCACAAAGCTCTCTTACACTGGATAATTACTATTGCCACTAATCAACTGTACTTTAGTAGCACCTCAGAGCTACAGTCATAAACCAGGATCTAGCTGTACTAGATGCTGTACAAACAAAAGGCCATTCTGCCTTGGAAAGGTCACTGGAGCTTTCCCCAGCATGTAGTCTTACAAGCCGACTGTTGATATCGGCCTCATGTTTGGGGTAGGCACAATTTTGTGTGTGCTTTTATGCCATCTAAGTACTTGACTGAATCTGCAGATGAGCTGCCTCATCATCCAAGGTTCTCTTATCCCATTTCTGCCTTCACAGTCTCTGACTTCCATCACTATTTCTCTCCTTATATTCAACCCAATGACCTATCCCTAAACAAAAAAATGCTGACTAGCATGAACACATCTATGGAGAACACACCCTTCACAGGTCACTTAGGTCCATATTTAACATTAATCAACCACATGGCCTTTATGAAACATTCTTCTGCCTTTCTATGACCCCACACACCATCTTTCTTGCATTTGCTAATTGCATAATCTCTTCAAAGGATAACTATCCTCCCCTCTGCCACCGAACTAAGCCTTCTGTAAGCTCCATACAGCATGTACTATATTTTACATGCTAAATATTAATTCTTCACCCTTCAGAGGATGGAGTGACTTAAAAAAAAACTGGCTCACTGCTGGTTTTACAGTCAGATTTTTTTTTCCCGATTGGCCCACCGGGCTACCACAGGTGGGGGGAATCCTTTAGGAGGAAGCAACTTTGTATATACAAACCATTTTGTTAAGAAACAGGTGATCTAAACAGAGCACAAAGGTAATCAACAGAAGTGATACTGGAGGGCTGGAAAGTGAAAAGTAAAGAATGATTGATATGACAATGCATTCAGCCTAGAGGACAGAAAACAGACCTGGAGCTAAACAACAATAATTCTTTTTAACTTAAGAGCAGAACAAGCACTAACAGCCCAGAGCAGGGATTTAAGTTAACCCGGGGGGGGACACGACTTAGAAACTGATGAAGCAAAAATTACAATCATTGTAGATAATGACAGCTAACTACTGACATGCTTTAGGGAAAAACTGCATTTAATTTGCTGGCATGCTGGGGGGTAGCAGTTCCATCCAGATCCCATTATTCTATGAATGGATTCACCTGATGATAGAGTTAGACCAGCAGAACAGGTCACCCCAAGCCAAGATCGTGGGTAAAAAGCTAAACTCACTCAGTAGAAACCCTGAATGCTTGCTCAGCTGCATAGGCAAGGAGATTTGAAGCCTGGTTATAGGAAGCCAATAAAGAATCCAGAAAATACCTCCAAAGTCTTCTTTAGGGTCATGATGTTTTCACTGCAGACTTCTACATTGTTCAGGGTCACCTGGGAGTAAAAAAGAAGCAAAATCCATTAGAAATTCAGTACGTAAAACTATATACACATACATGTGGAAGGCATGATAGATTTCCCATGATGTCCAACATACCCTCCCCACACCGCAGTTTGAGTATTAGCACATTCCCTCATTCTGTCTGTCACGCTGCTGCCCACTTCTCCCCAGGTCGAAAATGACCCATCCACCACCA